TATCTTCCCACAGATTTATCAGAGGAAAGCAATGAGCTCTTCACCTTATAACTGGTGTGTAATACACTAGTGCTTCAGAACATATAGGTGTCCTTACTCTTCCCAGTAGTAACCAGGGAGTGAAAAAATGAGGGCCATCATAGGGCCACCCTCAAATGACATTCCATGTCTTAAAAATATGCAGTATCGTATTTTTGCGTATGAATGAAGTCCAGAAAGGTCTGAGATCTGAGCCTGAACTGAAAGAATCCCTTTCAGGGAAAACTGCTGAAAATGAACTTCCAGCACTGAGTGCTCCTGCAAAGAGTAAAAGAACGGTATCGCTTTCCAGCACAACATCAATTTAGAGAAAATGCTACTGAGGTGTCCAGTGGGCTATCCAAATGCAATGAGAAATGAAGCACTCCCACAGAGGCATAAGGAAAGCATATGTAGACCTCTCGATGTCCTCAAGTCAACTATTGCTCCTGGATGTCCTGAAGTAATGGAGAGTTTAACTTCAGCTGTGAATTTCATACAATATTGAAAAAAAAAAAAATTCTAAAAATAATATCTGAAATATCCAAGCTGTGTTTGAAGGCTGTCAGCCTGTTTGAATTCTGTAGGCACTGAGTCTGAAGTCTTGTTTTTATCGACAGCAGGAGTAATGCTGGTGTCAGACTCTATCTCATACTAATGAACATCAGCGCCAGGTAGGAGAAAGCAGCTGTAACAGCAGGAACCATCATATCCGAAGGATCTCTGGCCTTTCTGCTGGAGCTCCTAACAGCCCTGATAATTGATGCCATTGCCAGGGGAAAAAAATTAGGAACTGATTTGAGAGCAGCAAGTCATTTCAGCTGAGGCACTGGGGAGCTGTCGGGCAACAGAGTTGTTGTGTCACAGACAACCTTGAAATCACTGTTGAGGAAAATAGAGAGCTCTAAAATGAAACAGGAATACTTCGAGGCCTCCTTTTTTCTCTAATTTTAGTTAAAAGTGATTAATGGTATGATATGAGTTGCCTTCAATTTCCTACAAAAAGGAGAAAGACATAACGCAAGATCTTGCAAAGTAATACCTATCTCAATATTTCATCTTTTGAAGTCTTGACACATAAGATAAACTTCAAGGACACTTTCTGAAATTTCAGGTATCCAGTAAAGCAAACAAGCTGGTCAGCTGCCTTTGTTGATGACCAAACACATGCTTTATAATGTATCACAGAGAAGTCTCTCAAAAACCTCTTAATACAGTTATCTGCTATCAATTAGAAGAAACCACAATAAATTGAAGATCAGTGCCTATTTTCAAATGTCTAGAAGCACGTTCACTCATTTCTTCAATAGTTTAAATACAGCAAGCTTTTATAAGAATTACTAATTGGTTGTAAAGGTCACACCTGTAGAATGTATGCATGTTGCAGGTCCAAAACCTATTTGACTGTGGCAATAGACTTATAGTGAGTGCTGTATTTGGAACAAATGATGTTACACTGACTGGATGAGCTGCCCAGATATGCTGAAGTTTTAACTGAATGTATTAGAAGATGTTAATACTAACAGATATACCGTTAGAAGTTGCAACGTCACTGCCTGTTACTGCTTTCTAGTATTTGTCCTTCACTGGTTTTCAGGAAGGAAAAAGAGGCATTTTGGAGCCCTTAATGTGAGACTGTATGTGAATAAATGTTTAAGGAGAGGTTTTTCTCCTCTCCAGTATGGATGAATGCCCTTTGAAAGCCAAAATGGAATTGATGTAATCTATTGATTGCCATTTAACTGCCTTTATAAACTAATCAGTGCAAAACATAAAATGTTTCTGAGCAGAATCAAGAAACAACCATAAAAATACAGGAAGGCTCATTTGGTTCTTAGATGGACTGCAAGGACAAATACCCTGATACAGAGAGTCACCAACGACTGAGGAGAGTGAACAGTGACTGCTGTGAAAATGTTACCAAAAATATTCTTGATTGTTTTAACTGAGAGAGTAACGTCACGCCAACAGCATTCATCCTGCATGCTTGAAACAGCAATGTTGTATCTGGCTGTAAGCTACAGATTTTTTCTTGCTGTGGCCAGTCTGGCACCTTTCACTGGCCAGCAGCAGCCATTAAGATCAATATACGATCAGTATCTTTGAGAAATAGCTTCATGCCTCTATGGAGAGAGAAAGCCATAGAAGCCTCTTTATGGGATCTCAGATTCACAGAATGGCTTGGAAGGGACCTTAAAGATCATCCAACCCCCACCATGGTTAGGGACACCTCAGAAGGAGAATAAGCAGTACACCAAACCCAGGAGAACCCATGGCTCTTTGGGGCTCAAACTATCACTCCTATTGATGCTCCAGCAGCGGTGAGAGAAAAGCTTACTGGGAGAAGGACAGCCTCTGGGCAGCAGATGTTCAGAAACCCACCACGCTCTAAGAGCTATTTCAAGTTTCAGCTATCATTGCCACCTTATTAGGTAGCTGATAAAGGCTGCACAGTCAAGTATTTACGTGAACATACACACTTAAGGCAAAATTTTTGTCCTTCTCACATCAGCTAAAGGAGACTCTAGTTATGACAGCTTTGTGGCTGCACGGCTCTATTCAAATTAATTTCTCTACAAAAAGATAATTCAGCTAAAATTATGTTGTGTGCCTCGAGAATGCCAAGAAGAGACAAGCACCTCTCAGGGCCCATTCTGGCCCACCTGGATCCCACTGAGTGGCATCACATCCCACTCCATCGGCACTGCAGATCGCCTCCCTGTCTTCCCATCCCATTCCCCTGTGCCCAGTGGAGCCACTGACTCCTGATAGATTATCCTCCCTCAGAGCCCTGCTTTCTTCAAGCACCAGGAGAGCCATGGCTCATCCTGAGGCTGTTAATGGCACGACAAAGCATTCATACATTCACTAGACTTTGCAGATTTTCACAAGAAACACTCATTACTTTGATCGCACAGTGAGAAGGGACTGCCATGCTACGTCAAACTAACAACTAAATGAAGAAAGACCTCCATAAAATAACTCTTTTAGAATTAACAGTAAAGAGATGTTCAAAGGAAGGGATTTTTTTCCCCTAAGAACAGTACAGTGGCTGTGAATGGCACCAGTATTACCCATCAAGTTGTGCCACCTTTTGTGACAGACCCACTCAGCTCATTTTTGCCACACAGACAATAGCACCTCAGTCTGATAATTAAACAGAATACAAAATTTTACACACTGGTTTCATCTTTAGGAAGATCAGTGTTAATCTTGTAGGAGTTTAATACAAAGAGAAGCTGTTGTTAATACACTCCCCACCACTGTTAAGTAAGAACTAGCAAGTACTCATCTTTATATAGAGACATTACATCTGAGTAAGAGTACAAAAACTTTATAAAATAGCTCTGTATTCACTGCTAGCTTTGTATCAAATTTATACACCCATGCATGTGTGAGTGCAGTCTTTTATCCATGGCAGAGATATTCATCTTACAACATCTCAGCTTTTCCAGTCTTTACTTGCTACTGTCATCTGAGCATGAAGACTAAATATTCAAAATCTTAAGTAAATTCAAGGGGCCATCAGTATTTAACTACTCTACAGCAAGGTTTTATTTCTTCCTTTTCCCTCACACTTGCACCTGACCAGTATGCGTGATAGGCAGTAATTAATCCTGCAGCACTGACCACTTTTCTGTACGAAGAATTGTTGCCCTGAATGGCATTTGATTGGCACTGCTGAGAGAGAGCCAGGAGCTTCCTGCAAGGGCTGAGTATTTCATTCACCCTTGGAAAGGCCAGAAATAAAGAGCTTTCCAGGTCACAACATTTTCTGATACAGGGAAGGAAAAAAAAAAAAAAAAAAAAAAAAAAAAAGCAGTCTGAAGTCATATTTAGACATTTTAATGACACCCCTCTGCAGTTCAGCTTGCGGTTTGTGAAAAAATAAAGGATAACCTTAAATCACAGAATCACAGAATGGCCAGGGTTGGAAGGGACCTCAAGGATCATGAATCTCCAACCCCCTGCCACATGCAGGGCCACCAACCTCCACGTTTAATGCTAAACCAGGCTGCCCAGGGCCCCATCCAACCTGGCCTTGAACACCTCCAGGGATGGACGGGGCATCCACAGCCTCTCTGGGCAGCTGTTCCAGCACCTCACCACTCTCTGGGTAAAGAATTTCCCCCTGACATCCAACCTCAATCTCCCCTCCCTCAACTTAAAACCATTTCCCCTCCTCCTACACATATCAACCCTTTCAAAGAGTTGATTCCCCTCCCCTCTGTAGGCTCCCTTTAGGTACTGCAGGCTGCAATGAGGTCACCCCGCAGCCTTCTTTTCTCCAGGCTGAACAAGCCCAGCTCCCTCAGCCTGTCCTCATAGGGGAGGTGCTCCAGTCTGCACATCTTTCCCTGCCCTCTTCTCTTCCCAAATACTGCAAATGCAGCATTTCTTTGAACCACGTGAACACATGATTGTGTTCATGATACAGAAGTTCCCCTCCATCCTGGCTGATGCAGCCCCAGTCACACACGTGAGCAGTGAAGAGGCAGCCACAGCAACTGCAGCCATCAGTGCACACAGAAATGGCAACACAAGCTTCCACTCCCTGCTCATTCTGGCAAGTAAACACCACTGCTGGATGCCATTAATGGCTGCCAGCTGGGCAAACAGAACAAGCAGGTCAAGACAGTCACTTCTCCAAGTTGTTCGCTAAATATTGTGCACAACTGCATTATTGCTCATCACACTGAGGCTCAGAAACTGGTGTTAAAATCTGGTTTCCTGCAAAAGTAGAGCTCAGGTTTTTCATCTTGAGATGTTTCAGGCGAGCAAAACTACCAGTTTTTGATAAAATGACTTTTGATATTGCACTCAGGCTTACCCTGATTGCACAAAGCAGCCTTCATCAGAACAGCTATTACAGACAGGGAGAAACAAATGACTGAATACTGGGCCCCCGTGTATCGGGCATGTACAGCTTAGAAAATCTTTAATGGAGATACAAGAGAACTGCTTTAAGGCATGCAACTTACTCTAAAGAATTCTTTGGTTGAGCCTGAATCCAAAGTGCCATAGGCTATCTCGGTTTGTTTAGCCAGATCCTCTGCGCTCTCTATGGGAGACACCATCCTTTCCACCGTAAGGAAGGCAGCAAGATTAGCAGTGTAGGAAGAGATAATGATGAGAGTGAAGAACCACCAGACTCCTCCAACAATTCGCCCTGAGAGAGATCTATGGAAAAACACAGATCATCAAATTTCTTCAGATACATCCCTTGATTTATTCATTTGTTTTTGGTGTAGAACAGAAATTCACATGCACAATCCTGTTGTCCCGATCCTCCAGGCATCTGTGAAGAGATAGCTAGCTCCTGAAGCCTTCCTTGGGAGAGCAAATAGGCATGTACCTGCTCTTACCTAGCTACACACTCCTCATCCTGTTATTGAAAACAAGGACAAAGAAACCGGTTCCTCCGAGCCCACTGCATCTGGAGAGCTGGGGAGGAGTAAGCCCTCCTGACTTCCTCATCCAGAAGACTTTCATCTTCTCTGCTAGGCCAGCCTTTCCCTCTGTCTGGATTCACCCGCTGTGACACACCAGCACTGCTGGCTCTTTGGATACTGACCCGTTTCGAGGAAGAAAACACCTTTTACTGCATTGACTCTTAAAATGTCAAAATGAACTGCAAGAAGTCGTGAGTAAGCATCCAAACGAATAAAATACAAGTGATCCAGTACCATTTTCTCATTAAATCCTAGCAGGAATTAAAGACTGAATCTAAATATTTAAATGAGGAAAGAAGCTGTTTTGTTTTATGTTAATTAACATTTGCATGCCTAAAATCCACTTTTTCAAGACAAGCACATTTCAGCTCTAGAGCTACCAGAGCAATGTAGGAGGAAAGTAGAAAAATAATGTTTGTGGGCTTTTGTGTGTGTTTTTTTAAATGAAAATAACATGAAGACTTAAAAAAATCCATATGTATTAATATACAATTACAAAATGCGTACTGCTCAGGAGATCTAGACTGTGTAAAGCAATTGAGCACCAAGCTCAAAAGATCTTTGTAGGGCTGAAGAACACACTGGGAATTCACTGCTGTGCACATTCTTCAAACACAACATACTGACCGGGAAACGTTTCAGGAGCTGACAAAGCTATTTCTTATGTTTCCCCTTTGTTCTTTACTGACATCAAATACGGAAGATTCAATCCCAAATATATTAAATCCACAGAACCTGTGTGCTGCAGTTCTCAATTAGTGAAAGAAAAGAAAACTCTTACCTGTTTGTTTGTTTGTTTCCTTCCAGCCCCTCAGTGCCACCCCCAGACAGTGGGTACAAGTTGTCCTACCAACAGATGGAGACAGGAAAAAAGTCTGGCGTCGGGCCCCCACCCTGCCCACTTGAGGGATGTGAGCTGGTAAACTGCCTAGTTTTGGCCAGAGCCTGACATTGCCTGAACCATGAAAAAAATCCCATTAAATTAATAAGAAATTAAAAAAAAAAAGAAAAAAAGAAAAAAAAAATCCATCCAACATTAAAAGAACACACCAAAGAAAAATATTTCCAACACAATAAAAACAGAGAGCGCAGTCTGGAATAGGTTAGAGGAACGTGGAGAAACAAACTACGAGGCAAAAGAAAGTAGTTCTCCACTCCTTTCTTCCCAGGAACTGAACAGCAGTTCCTGCTGCAAGGGCAGGTTTGGGCTGGACCTGTGGGTTACAGCCTGCTCTGCTTGCTCGCCCGTGGCAGGTCCATACCAGCGTGCAGGGTTCAGGTGGTCACAAGGCTGCAGGAAGCCTAAGGAGTGAAGCATCACCTCTTCGTCCATCAGGATCAGTGACTTCTGAGGTGAGAACGCTGTGAGAAATGGCTTCTGCTCCAGCCCGCGTGCAGTTCCTCAGGGCAGGACCATGCCTGATGGATCTCTGCCAAGCACAGGAGGCTCCCCGGTCTGTCCCAAGGGCTCCTGGCAGGATGAAAGGCTTTCAGGTTCCAAGCTGGGGCCATGCTGCAGCACCGCTAACTAACACAAGGCTACTGAATGATTGCAAAGGTAAATTCCAGCAATACAAATCCAGAATAATGCAGTGAGATAAAAAAATCCTTCTACCTCACTATACATTCATGGAATGTATCAAGAGAATGATCTTGTGTGATTTTAGAGATGGTAAAGGCCCTTTCTGGCCAGCTAGGGGCTTGCTTTGGCTGTTTCATAAAATTGGATATCCTACACAACAAACCAAACTCTCATATAAGCTAAACTTAATTTGAGCCATCCACACAGCAGTGCCTGCTGATCTCACTGAGTAAGGCTTCCTTTGAAGCCAAGACAAAGACGAGACAGACACCCTTGGAATGAGATTTATCTCACTTGCTATAGCATGGGATAGATCTGAAGGTGCCCATCTGTCTCCCATGAGCATAGAGGGCCTAAGATGCCTAACTAGAACACAGTATATTGCTTTCAGGTGGCTCTACCAGGTGAAACTCATTTCTCTTTTGCTCACTCTTTCACTACATAATTTCCAGCTTCAAGGTGAAAAAGACTTGAATTTTTCCTCCTTGCAGCACGTTGGCAGTTTCAGAGCCAGACTAAGGAGATGAAGCATCCACTTACGCACAGCAAGACCAGCTTTATCTGGCATCTCCAGGTTCCTGTGGCCCTCTTGCTTTACAGTAGGTCTTGAAAGAGGAAGATGAAGAAAAGACTTGACAGGATGTTTAGACAAATTTAATGGAACTATCAGTTAAAAAAAAAAAAGGCATGTATGCATTCTCCCTGTGGTTTCCCTTAGAAAATGTGATACTTGCATCAGGAACTGCCCCTTCTGCTTGAAGCACAGATTGCTGGGGTGAAGATGTGCAGGAAGGGAAACATTTTCCAAATCAATGTACCCACAGTCCCACAATCCTGTAACAACACAATGTCTGTGTAGAGCTGCATGTTCATACAGTGCATTATAACATAGATGAAGGTAAAAATATCTTGCCCCCAAGATGTTGCAACCTGCATAAAGCAAGCAGACAGATACAGGACAAAATACAGAGAACAACTGAGAGGCAGGGCAGGAGGGCATGGCTGGGTACCTTGAAGAAGACAGTTCCTCTGGGTCCTACGTGCAAGAGAGTGGTCTTGCTAGGTGAGGACCAGAGCAGTTCTCAGAAGAGTTGAGTTCACTTGAAAGAAAACTGGATGTCATTGCAGCACTCCTTCTCCCACAGATTTCCAATGAGCACAGAAAAGAAGATAGAACAGTTGCTGCTAAGAAGCGCCTTGGGCGACCATTGCTGCGATTGCTGTCAAGCACAGGATGCAGCAAAAGGAAAACAAAGCAAACCGCAAAGCTGACTTTGGAAAGACAGACAGACAAAGACTCAAAGAACAAGAGCATAGTTGAACACGGCCTGGCAGCCTCCTTTTCTGAAAGCACCCCATTTCCCCCCGGTCCATCTGCTGATATGAAGACTCCTTATACCCACTGCAGGGGCTGGTGTGGAGGGATGAGGGAGAAAAAGTGTCAGTACATAACCACCAGGCTGGCAATAAGAGAATACTTGTTTGTTTTGTACTGTGAACCATAGAAACGTTTTTCCGTTACTCAGATAACAATTACAGAAAAATCAATCCCAGTTTTTAATACCAGCACCACTTTTTGTGATGAAGGCATACCGGTCCAAGTGTGCAGTGTTGTAATTTAAAAACAAGCAACTAATGTTTTATCCCAACGTGCCATTTTCCAAATTACTTCAATAAATCAATACACTGCACGACATCATTTTGAAATGAATTAGACTGTTAACAAACAAGAGAAGTAAGAAAGCCTTGATATAACAGAATTATGACACAATTACCAAAACAAGATCAGATGGAAGTAAACAGGAAGAGTGCATACCTTGAGAGGAAATTTAAAAGGAAGCATGGAGTCAAATGAGAGCAAATTAGTAACAAGAAAAGAAAGAAAACAAATATTCAAATTCACATTCAGTTTCCAAGAGAAAAATACATTCAAACAGAATCTCATTTATTTATCAATATAGCTTGAATTCTGTTTCTATTCATGGCCAGAAAACATCCTTGATTTCCTACAACAAACAGAAAAAAGCTTTTCACACTACTTAATTTTTAATAGGGCTCTTATGATCGATACAAGATGGGTGTTATATTGACAAAAAGCTCTGACCAACCTCAGAGCAAAATCTACTGTCTGAGACCCCCTTTTCATTCTGAGCACGCAGCTCTGTATGCTAGGAGCTCAGTGCTTTGCTCACCAGCCCAGCAAGCACTCTGCCTACCCTGCTGGCCCCACTTGGCCAGGAGGCACCCGCCTGAGACAGAACACAGTAAATACCAGCATCTAAAGCTCTGCCTTGAGATGCTCTATTCTCTCATCATAGGAACTGGCAGGGGGAGTTTCAGAAGCGCCTAGCTACCCAGCTCTTGTTGTCGTTCCAAAACTCCCACTAAGTCATTCCCATGGTCTTTAATAGGAGTCTCTTGAGCCTTCTGCTACACAAATAGGAATCTAGAAATATATCCTCTCAAACGACCAACTTCTTGCGATAATTTTTAATGAAACCCCCTGTCTTTTCCTATCAGCAATTAGTTAATCTTGCCTCTTTGTTCTGAGTGAATAAAGAGCAAAATGAAAATATATGGTCTCATACAGATTTCAAAGGTACTTTTGCTCCGAACAGTGTTACAAATTCTACTGCTTTCTCTTGATTCCATTTGCTGTATACATTTTACATTAAAGCAAATTTAATAATCTGCTTCTGAGCCATGAAAAGTGAATTTTCGATACTTTAGCTCACTAAGCAGAAAACACAGCAGCCTTTGATAGCAGAACAAAAGCTCTGGAACAAATGCTGGTTCCATCGTGGGATGAGCTAACTACCATCCTTTGGCTGCCTTCTGACTCAGCTGAGATGACTCCTATTAAATACAGAGAGGAGAGTACAGGGATATATCCTCTGGAATATCCGCACAGCATACTCACCGAGGACAGATCTAACTAGTCATTAGATGTCACAGCTGTTCCGCACAAAGGCAGCTGAAAGAGCCTTTATCAGCAAGTACAAAAGTGATCTCTCCAGACTGCTTGTCGGCATCTCTCTACAAGTGCTGTATGCTCTCGAATAAGAAATTTATTCAGACAAAACTCACAATGGAAGAATGAAGCCCCTTTTAATGGCAATAAAGTAGTATGAAACATTCATATAATCAGTGTACTGTGAATGGCATAACCTCACAAAGATCTGGATTCGGAATGGAACCCTTGGGAATAGTTTCTTAGACAGAGAAGAAATCTGACATTAAATAAACCTAAATCAACTTATCAGTCAAAGGAGTGGTGTTTCTGGAATGGAAACCAAGGTATTCAATCTCCTTTTTTTTTTTTTTTTCAGTAACAGTGCACATAATTGCCTGAACTCGTTATCATGGAAGATAACAAAATAGCCAGACAATGTCTTCTAATGAGGACCACATACTGTTACTGAGTTAAGAGCTTCTGATGGACAGATAAAATAAACAGGTTTACTGCTAACTCTTTTTCTCGTATTTCCAAGGCACTTATCATGTTAGTATTGAAAAAAATAGAGTATGTTCCACTTGTTATATAAAGTAAATGGCTGAACATGTCAAAGATCACATGAGAGCTTAACAAAAATCCTATGGACTTCAATTTGCTGTCAATAAACAGACCTAGTGGAAACAGTGCAATGCCTGCAGCTTTCCATGTGATGTCCCAGTGCTTATTTCCCGGTCTTTCATATTGGGCACACACATGGTCAACAGCAATTTAAATGCTAGCACTACTCATCACATTTAGCTGCGGAAAGAAAGGCAAAGTTTCATTACAGAACTTGGGAATAAAGCAGAAACACAGTGTATAAACACAAGGAGAAGGCTGACAGCTACAGCAAGGCAGCACACTGGAACACTGGGAGCTGTGAACAATAGTGCAGGGTTCTGCCCAGGCAAAAAAGCCACGTGCGTGCCTTATATAGGATATATATGCACCTGTCAACTGCTTGTGGAATCTAACTGCTGCTATCAAAGCTTTTAAAACACAGGAATGACTTGCATCAAATACTGACAGGCACATGCCATTATCTCTGCAAATCCTGGATTCGGCTGCAATTAGGAGATCTAAATGTGCAATAACTGTGACCTTAAAGAATCATTTTTACATTCTAACTGAAAATCTTGGTACTCTCCGTGAAACTTCCTTCCGTGAGATTTTGTCACTTGCTGCAGTGAGACCATTCAGCAGGTCTTCCACTAATTAGCTTAGGAAAGCCTGGTAACTTTTGAGCACAAATGTGGAAATTAGCAATGTGCATTTTGAGGACAAGCATTCAGTCAGAATACCTCTCTCTCTTGATTTGACTAGCAACTTTTTTTATCCTGTTTATCCTGTTATCCTGCATCCTGTTTGTACTGCGCAGGCATTTTAATAATTAAAATAACTGTAAACTGGATTTAAAATTATTTTCATATAAAACAGAATTAATGTTCCATCACTAAGAAACTATGTGTAGGTAATTCGACTGCTTATCAAAGGCATGTCACCAAAGTATTTTAGCAGTGTGCGTGTAGAAGTGTTGCATATAAACTACTCAAAATACATTTGAGGTTTGCATTGTTCAATTACAAAGAACTTCACTATTCTCTGGTGGTTTTCAAAGTGCTTTTTTGAAAAAGAAATACAATTCCACAATAGTTAGCAGCACTCTCTGTTAAACTGGAGCTAATATCAAACATACTTTACCAAAGCCTTACTCAGAAAGACTGTCTTCATGAATAAAAAAGAAGGGATGGAAACTGGCAATGCTTATTGGACCATATTGACTATGAGCATAGGGATGATGGATGATGGATTAGATTTAAACAACGACCCATACAGGGCAGCATGTAATAGCTGACAGACAGGTGCACATACAGATCTGAATGTATGAAACGTGGTTGTAAGCAAATGAGTAGTAAATGAAAGGATGGGTCAAGAAGAACAAAATTAGAGAAATTAGGTAAAAAAGAAAGCAAAAAAAAAAAAAAAAATCTAGCAGAAGCCATGACAGTGGAGGTGTTTTAAAGTGCTGTTGCATGTGAGTTTTCCAAAAATAAATAGTTCTTATTTTGCAAAGCATAATGTGTTTTATGCATCAAGGAGATGACCGTAAAATGAGATATGCAGCAAAAACACGGTAGCCCTCCAAGCATTGCTGAAAACAGAAAACCCTATGCATTTTACAGCCTTAACATGGTGTATATAAGTTTGGCAGAAATGCATAAACAGCATTATAAAGCAATGCCACTCACTCTGGAGGTGACTGTTAGCAAACACAGTGGCTTGATGATGATGCTCAGCATTAAATGAAATGTCAAAACAAAAGAATTAGAATTAAAAATAAATTTGAAAATGGAACATATATGCACCATGGCATCAGAAAATGACCATAAAATGCAAAAAGGTGATGGAGTGATATGAAACAAACCTTGGAGAAATATCGCATCCTTGCTGCATAAAGGCACCCAGGGAAAACCAAAGGCTGTTAAATATTCCAAACTCATTGGGAGGATCAGGAGGATTCTGAGGGTCACGTGGTTCTTCACTGCCGTCTTCCAAGTGCCATTCATAAGGGCTGAATCTGCTGACTAGGAAAAGAACTACGCTGACGCCAATGTAAGCAAAGACTATACACATCCAAATTTCATAAGCCAAAGGATCCAGGAAAGAGAATACGCCCGGTTTAGATTTCTGAGGCTTCTTGATCATGATGGAGATCCCCAGGCTCATAAAAGGCTTGGAAAAGTCTATGACTTCTTCTCGCACCAATGTTATGGTGAGGGGGGCAACAGCTATATCTGCTCTCTGGAAAGGGAAAACAAGGCCAAGTTAGCGACAAAACAGTTGCAACATAATCACAATCTAGAATCTCAGGTTAATGAATGAGATGATGAATTACAAAACCGAGTAGGAAGCATTTTCTTTTCAACCTATTTGGCAATCACTGAATTTGATTAAGAAATATGTGATATCGACAGAAAATTATTAACAAGAAAAATTACCACCCAATCTGTGCAAGGGCCTCAAGAGAGAAAGAGATCAGTACCAATGTGTATTTATGTTTCTGTTCATTTAAAATGGATGAATAAACTCTATTTCGACTGGACAACGAAACTGCAATTGAAGTTGTACTTTTTAGGGTAATGTAAAGGGTCTATATTTTGCATATGAAATGTGATTTCTAGTCCAGTTCAGTCATGAACAGTGTTTAACACATAAAAACATATTTAAATCATAGGCAAAAAAAAACAACCAACAAAAAAACAAAAAGCAAAAAAGAAACTATTGCGTTAAGGATTTCAAACGTATGTGGATTGTTTGATGGCTTTTTAATCTTTTTATTTAGGAAAAGTTCTTTGACATTAATAAATTTTTAATTCCAGGAGTTAAAAGTAGTTCTTGGGTAAGCGTGAGAGCATGTGCTTTCGTTCTTGCACAAGTGTGTCCCTGTTTATCTGGTAGACATGGCGACATCGCAAGCACTTGCCTTTTGACTTCTATGTCATTTTCTAGTAACAGCCTGTATCTGTCCATCTGTCCTCAGGACTCTGGACAAATTATGTGTTTGTTATATTTGGATGCTTTCTTTTTCATTCTACCAGCAGGTTCTGTTGCCTTACTGATTATTCCAGATAAACCTAACATAAGTAATTAGTCACGGAATTTCAGCTGGATTTGGGCACTGTAATTTACATATTCCTCTGAAACTCCATTACAATAAAGGAAAGATGATGGAAGGATAGTGGGGTGATAGGAACCAGGCAGCCTTCCGTGGTCACTGAGAACAGTAATACAGATCCGTGAATCTCTGAGCAGTAAATAGCTTAGATCATGTGGGGAAAAGGCAAAAGTGTAACGTCATTCTTTTACACAGAATCTCAACTCTACAGATCTGCAATACAGACACTGTTCTAAGGATGCATCATACAGAAGCACAATCTCGTCTCATTGCATTGTCATTCACCAGGGCAATTTGCAATGAGATAATGTCTGGCTGGAACCAACACCCTTTCATTTCAGTCCTTATGTTTTTCCTGAATTCCATAGGGAAGGTAAGAATGTGGAGTGAAAATCAATCAGTCAATTAATAAAAATTACTTGGTTACTTGATTGAAATTTGTATTCCATAATGGAATTTCAATATATATATAATTGTGTCTATATTTTTATACCAGATTCAAGTCACACTGTTTAGACAACCTAGCCTTGATTTGGCAAAGTGCTCAAGCAGGTGTCAGAAATTGTATTTGAAGAGACTAGAATGTTTAAAAAAAAAAAAAAGTTCTTCTGCATTTTAAGAAGAAGCTTTACTGCAAGATATATTCCACATATTAGTCCATTATTTGTAACCTTCTGCCTACTTTTAACAATTCCGTAACTATTCATGATGTTGATTCTCTTAAAGATGGCCTTTTGTTGATAATTAAGAATTTCAGAAGGAAAAATGATTCTTAGGGAAAGCTTAACTTACCAGTAACTAAATCACTGTGCACCTTTTTAAATCAGACTTTTGTTTCCAACTAGTGAGTGTGTGTGTCTTTCTGACCAAAAAATAAATCCTGATTTAGTGGAAGTTTGAATACAAATTAATTGCAAATGTTGATAAGAAGTGATTAAAATCTGTGCCATAAAATAATTTAAAGTAGCTTTATGTAAATCCGATGTTGATATACTTGACTTTCACCAAGATCTGATTTCCCGATCTACTAAGTTCAGTTTCATCGTTTCGTTTAATTTTCTTTGTGGTGGTGGGTTTTAATTTAATTTAATTTAATTTGAAGTTTAATAAGCAGAAATGGCGAAGCCTTTTGTAAAGGTAATCTCCGCCTCTCTGCCCCATACCAGTGGGTGCCTCAACCCTGGTTCCCAAGGCACCCCTGGGTGCTGCACAGCTGAGGCCAATGGCAGCCCTGCTGGGCCAGCCTCCATTCCCCATGAGCACACAGCACAACCTCCAGGCTTCCTCCAGTCCCTCAGGAAGGCCTCCTAACTGTCTGCACCTGCATGTGCAGCTATGAGGGATGTGTACAAACTCATGGCTTGGAATAATCGAATAAGCCACATCCACACATATAAGGAAGCCATTTGGAAACCATGGCCCACGGTGTACTTTGCTATAGCCCTCCTCAGCTCCTTTAGACATTCATGCGTACCAGGACATTGCCCTTCCCCTTGAGTGACTGCTTTCCTTCAGGAGAAAACCCTCACCCAATCTGTGGTTGCTTGCTGCAAGAATCTATGTTATCGTGGCATGCATCTAGAAACCAGAAGTGCCAGTTGCTTTTGGATGCTGGGTGTTCACTGGCTTTGCAGATGAATGAGTTCACAACCGAAGTACATGGGTACAGTGTAGGGAAGGGACTCGATGATTCTGCAGCTTGCTCGCTGATGAATTCTCCCCAAACACATATTTGTCTTTTAGCTACTGCTTACTGAACCTCTGTTCAACATTAAGTGTCTGCAGCCAGTATTAGATACGCACAGGACATCCATTTTAAATGCAGTCAGTGTCCACTGCTGGCTGGAAGACTAAGCACTTTGACCACGGCTACTGTATTTCAAATTGAACTAATGAAGTAATTACAAATTAATCATTATTAGAGTGAGCTGAGTGGATGAGGACCTCTGCAGAGCCCCTAGCAATGACTGCTCAAGAATTGCTCCCAGACAAGGGAGGAAGCAGCCCTGCAGCCTGTGCGGGGCCATCAGCTGTGGGACAGCTCGTCAGGGGCTGGATCAGCCATAGGTGCCATTATTTGCTGTAGCATTTTCCTGAACTCAAAGAAATTGAATTCTCCCGAAGTAATATATTAATTGCTGAAGGAGACACAGTGGAGTTCTTCCTAAGCGCTGATGCAGCGTGCAATAAAGTCTGCACCTCCTTCACGAACATCTGGGTTCATGCAGGATGCTCCTGTGGGGTATTTGGGATTATGGAGCTGATGCTCTGTTTAGCACTGACAAATCAGTTTTTAAATGCCTGATTCCTACCATGTCCTCATTCGTATCACAAAGCATGAATTTCTTTGTAAACGATTTTAAACTACATTAATATTAGCAGAAAAATAAATGCCTATTTTTCTAATACACTTTAGCCTTCCCGCTTTCCCACTGTTTTTGGTAGGCCTTCAGCATATTGGGAACACCAATAAATAAACATCCTCTGGCCTTCAATGAATACAACAGTAGTTGTTTTCATCAAAGGAAACCAGGTATCCATAGGATCTCGGAAACCATCCACAACTCTGGCACTGAAAGCAGCCCAGCAAAACAGTGCAGCACCTGAGCCTGGTTCCCAACTATTAGTTACACCAGAGAAGTTAAAACAAGAGCACTTGCTGCCTATTTATCTAGATATATAATATCAGAAACGGAGAGCCTATGAAAAGCTCTAAGCACCCCCATTAATAACTGCAATATGGTTGTGAATCTCTCTTCTTATTATGGCTGCAGATAAGCAGAACCCATAAAAATTGAACTAGATTAAAAATAACACAACAGAACCGCAAACATGCCTTACCCTGTGCAGTTGGAGGGGGAGAAGTTAAGAACCTCAACAACTGTGCTTTGCTAATCACTCATGACTAATGGCGTTTCAAACATCATCCTCACTGCATTTAAGCTGGGAGAAAATGTCATGGATTCCTCTGAGGCTTGTTCTGTCTCTGCCTACCAGTGTGGGAGGACGGATTTAGGGAGGACATGCAGCACAGAGCGCTGCCCACTCTGCTCAAAGCCAACCCCAAGGGGCTGCATATCTCAAAACTCTTAAGGGGAGGGAGAAAAATACTAAATGGAAATATCCCTCCGTGCAGAGAAAGAAGTGATAAGATGTTCCACCTCTGTAATCTGAAAGGTGGGGTGGAAATCTGCTTACAGGCCTGAAGATGAGTTTCACTATCTTCAAAGACGCGCACTAGAGGTAGGAAGAGACACTGGGCAGGCTTCTGCTGGTACATGTTTCTGGTTGCTCATGCCTGTAGAACTGAAGAATTCCTTCACTGGTGTGTGGCTTTCCAAGAAACTTGGTGCTGGCTGCACTCACTGTGCAGCCTGTGCTCACACCAAAACAGTGGAACACTGTGCCTGGTGCTCACTGCCCAGCTTCCATGGGGAGCCAAATCCCCAGGCACTCCAGAGGTGCCGAATGCTTCTGAGATGAGACTGTGCTGGGAAGACGGCTGACTGTGCAGCATAAGACCGTCAGTGCAGGATGTCGGACAGAGCAGCACCTCACCTGCGGTGCCTGACAGCTGCCTTGTCAGTGGAATGCACTCTCTCTCCAGATATCAGGCTGTGCTGGAAGGCCAGGCCAGGCGCGCACTGTGCTTCTAACACACTTACTCACACTTATTTAGAAACAACAGCTGAGATCAGTGCAGCAACAAACTGCACTGAAGTTGCACTGCGTATTAGCCCAGCCATGAAAAAAACTCATTTTACAGTGTTGAAACTGCAGTTGGCCTTGGCTGCTGTAGTTTGTCGACATTAATTGAATTCCTTGTCCAAAACAAGCCTAATTTGGATGCACACCGTTCCTCCTCAGGTACTATCGCAAAAGAAGTGGAGGCAGGTCTGCTTTCGGCCTCCCAGCTGGTGTGGTGCAGCTGGAGCTGGGAGCCATGTTGCACGGGCCTCGCCCTGGTGAAACCAGCAGGGACACTGAGGAGGGGGAGCAGCCTTCCACCAGCTGCTGCTACTCCAGGGCTTCCCATGGCAGTCACGGTCTTGCTGCCGCTGTGAGAAGCAGAGCACTTGTGCTGCGGGCCCAGCTGGGCAGGGACAGGAGTGGGCAGCCTCGCTACAAGCGGCTCCAGAGGCCTGGTGGCTGGGGAACGCCTCAGCTTTACATCCCAGCTTCATTCCTCGGTGCTGTTTTACATATTGAAAGGTTCTTACAAAGACCTTCTGTCACCTGAGGGGAGTTTTAAGGGCTGTAAGGTCTGTCTGCTCTTTCCACTCCCAGTGCATTTGTAGCTACAATTAAGAGACGTGTTCAGCCTACTCTCAATTAGCCTCAGCGACTTGAAAGCATCAGGCCCGGGGAGGGAGCTTTCCCTGGCGGCAAGGTGAAAGCAGAACAGTGGCGTTCTTTGAGACGGGAAGGAATCAAAGGCTGCAGAGGAGAGGAGAGCAGTGCCAAGGGCTGATGGCAGGCGGGCACAGAGCCCTGCGCACAAAGCCCTGCTCCAGCAGGGGCGGTGCAGTGGTGCTGGCAGAGGGCAGCTCGTTAGCGCCGACTGGGGAGGGCAACACCTGCCGTGTTGGTTGGATTTAAACAGCTCACTCACAAACTGAGAAAGCTTCAGCTGCTGTAACGATGTAGAAGGCAGGGTCTGTCTGATCAGGCCCTGGACCTGGATGAGCTGCCCCGGGATGCACTGGGATGGGGTGGTGGTTTGTGTAGAGAGATGAGAACAATTCTTGTCTTAACAACACGCTATTCAGCTTCCTTAATAAGCACGCACCATTGATCTTAGTGGGGAATGCAGCTCATGTGTATGGCAAGTTTTAGGTTTGCACAGGAGTGGGATAAAGCGGTCCCGGTGCTCCCTGGTGTCCAGAACCTAGAGCTCGCTGCTGGCTGAGCTAGAAACCATTCTCCACCAGGAACAACTAAAATGAAACAAACTTATACATCTGGGAACACTTAAGTGTTAGGTAAACTTAACTTGGTATATTTCAAATTTCAGTTAAGAGTTAAAAGTACTTTTCTACAGTTTTTCAAGTCTCAGTTAAGAATGCAAAGTACTCTTCTAAAATGCCCAGGAAAACAGCTTTCACTACTTACTTTGCTACTGTCAAATATTTCCATTATGTTTTAGAAGTTTCCCTTAGTTTAAAAAACAGTAGTGCATTACATTAGCATTTTTATGGTAGAAGGTAAAGTCTTATTTTGATACCAGTAGAGTGAAAGATCAAAATTAAGGTTTTGTTCCACCTAAAATGACATCTTTGGATTTATCAAAAATTAAAAAATTTTCATTCCTGATGTCAAATTTTTATACAATTATTATTATCAACTTCTAGTAATTGCTAACAAATCAAAAGCTAACTCTGTCAGGACTTCTGGGCTCTGGGTAGGAAGCAAAGCCATTTGGGGACACCTGCTTGGCCAGCACTCCCTGCATCTGGGGCTGCCACCTCTATGCTGCCAAGAGCAAGTCTGCACTGCAGCCAGATTATCACACAGCCTGGTGCAAAGCAACACCAAAAGGTCCAAGCAGGGCCAGCTGAGGTCGACCTGGCTGACAGCACAGGAGGCCTTTGTGCCCTCCAGCCAGCCCTGAAGTACTATAGGGGACAGGAGAGGGAGCAAGTCTCTAGTGGAAAGTGTTTTAGTGTGCTTGTTCCAGGTGATGTGTGGCTCCTGGGACTGCCCTAGTTAGCCCCAATGGTGCTGAGCTGAGGCAGGCCCTGCACTCTGGTCAGGGCTGTGCTGGTCACCTGGGCCTGAAGCTCTGGACCACCCCATTCGTCCTCTCCTTCCCCACATCCTCCCTACTCAGACCCCTCCTGTATAGGCTCTAGAGGCTGTGAGGACCTGGCTGCACCTTCCTGGCCGCACGGTGCATCCCACAGGAAGAAAGAGTAATGGCAATAAAGAACTGGCACAAACTAAACATTAATTACAGTTAATTAGGGTTTTGGCATTAAAGCTTCAAGCCATTCACTTCCTATGGCTGTGCTAAGGGCACTTTTAGAAAAAGGTTGCACGCATGAGTCTATGCAAAGATAGAGCGCAGTTTAAAAAATACTTGGTAAGACTTCCCAGCAGTGTGGGTGGCAGTGGCATGCTTGTCGGGCCAGGAATGTTCTGCGTTTGACAGATGAAACACTTGAGACAAATGCAATCTAAAAGATTGTTTTCTGCCAGAGCTCAGTTCAGCTGCTGGGTAACTGGTACCAAAACCAATCAGGCCCCTTTGATTCCCCCATGTCTATCTTCTATACGTGCTAATAAACGCATTTAAAATCTAATCTCCTTCTTGTCTTCCCAAAATGGAATCTGGAAGAGCCAAATATGACAGTCATTTTGCAGACAGGGCTCACAAGGGCATTAGGGGAAATGTACAGTTTTAGATCCCTAATAGAGTTTTAAGCCCTGGAGAGATAAAGGGAAGTCAGCACAAAAATGAGACAGTTGCTCCTAATAATTAGCACATCTAGAGTACTGTTCCTTCTTAAAGGGCTTTTCGCACATCCTTGTGAGTTTTGTACACAGCCCTCTCTCAACAACTGGAGGAAAGGGCCAAGGGCATCTCATCTCAGCAAACAGGACTGGGAAAGTGCCTGAGGGGCTCCTGAGGTCTGTGCTCAGAGGCCAGGAGCTGCTCCCCTGCTAGCAGAAAGCCAGGTGGATTTCTGCACACAGCCCTTCAGCTTCGCTGCTCAGCTCAGCAGGATGGGAGCTTGCTCAGCAGTGTGGAGCCATCAGCATTAACCCAGGTCTGCAGTCAAACCTCAAGGGGTGCATCTGACCTTTGAATAATTGAGTATTGTGGTTAAGAGGCTTCAGTAACTGAGCCCTCAGTGTGCAAGGAGGAGCTGTTGGGGGCCAGGGAGGGAAACAATCCTCAAATTTTCATTAATGAGAAAGCATGGGTGAAAACTGTGTCAGAATTGAATGGAACAGATCTTTTTTGTAGGGAAAATGATCACCACGGGCAGATTTGGGGTTGTTTTAAAATATGGTCAAAGGTGCCCGTGAGGCTGTACTTCACAGGTTTGGGCAGGTGACAGGCACAGTTGGGCCAGAGAGCTCAGTCTGATGCTCGGGAGGCAAGCTCTGAGTGAGGTTCGTCCCAGGGAGCTAGGGAAGAGGCTGCAATAGGGAGCCTGCTTATCCAAGCAAAGGCTGGGTTCAGGTGGCCCTTCATACAGATGGATCTTGCACTGCTCAGCAGCTGCTGGGGCTAATCCTACTTGGCTCCCATCCCAGAAGCAGTGGCCCGTATTGCACCTTTCTTCCTCCGGTCCTTTTGCCCTGGCTGTTAGAAGTAATTTTAGATTCTCTTTGTCATGTCTTTAGTGTATGATATGATTTTTCTTTTAAGTGAATAAACTGTTTCATTGCTTGTCACTTGCAAATATATCAAAAGGACCCAATTACGGCTAATACTCTTGATATTTCTTGAACCGCACACTGGGAAACCAAGGGTTTAGGTTTTCACTGCAATGCAATTATGCCTGAAACTAAACTAATCTTTCCTTCAGATGTTCTTAATGTACTTGTATTCTTCAAGAAAGGAAATATTGTTTTCCCAAGTCACAGAGCCCTGGATGTTCAAAGATTTGGATAATGTCAAACTTCAACGCAATAGGAAAACAAAGATACAACCCCAGGATCCAGAGCCCTGTTTACATTCAACAATAGATTTCCCTCCATCCCAGTAATACAACACCAGAAAATAATTTCCATTCACATAAAATATTTGAATTCAAATAGGCTAGAAAGTATGTAATGAAGGATTAGGATTCCAGAGGAAAAAAAAAAATTTGGAAACCTAGCAACTACATTTTGAAAAGACCAATTCATTGGAAAAGAGTTATCTCACCACACATTTTGCAAGTGATGATGGTATGATGTTATCATAGGGAAATTTTGAGGATACTTTTAGAAACTACACTTATCAAGGGAACAAAAGGATGTAATGGAAACATTCACTTCTATAAAGATATTTTTAATAAAGGAAAGCTTGTTAAAAATAAACTGTAAAAAGGATTTGGGTGGAATCACAAATCATCTCATTAGCATTTGGGGGGAAAAAAACCAAAGATGAAATATCAGCTTGTAAAGACTTTTCTGCAAAGCCAACTTTCTCCCCCTTCCATCTGGCTCATTGTATCAGCATTCCAAAATTCGCGTTTTCAAAGAAGTTTCTAAAATGGCAATTCCAGACTGTTTTTCTTCTTACTAAAGAAAGCAATATGCACCCAATATAGAAATATAATGAGGAATATAATGAATTAGATTTTTTTTGTGTGTGTCTGACAGTTGATTTTTAAAGAGAAAAAACTGTGGGTGGTTTCAGGCCTGTATTGCCTCTTATGCTAGAAAACAAGCATGGTGCTGAGTCTCTGGTCTCTGATCAAACAAAAACTGACCTCAGTGATCTAACAAGGCTCAGCATCGTAAGATCACAGCTTTAATGTTGGGGGCAGCCCCCATCACTCACAGGACTGATGGAGAAAAAGAAGATGTGGCAAGAACAAGAGCACACATGAAGGGAAAACTAGAAAGTCTGCTGTAGATCAGGAATTTGAAATTTTCCCAATGCAAATTTCAATGTTTTGTGGAATCTGATTTGGACAACAGTGATAAAAAGTGACACCTGTTTTTAATGACATGATTAGAAAGCTAAGCTACAAAAATGGCATTACAAAGAAATATCTAGAATTTTAAAAGTGGTATTCAAACAGATTATCTTTATTTTGCAGTTTATTAACTTCGAGCATAACTTTTCATAATAAAGAACATGAAAATGAAGGTTAAGAGAAACTTACCCCATAGACCAGTTCACCCACCATGCCATTCCATATCTTAGTCTCAGGGTCCCTAGCTCCATATTTCCCATCTCCAACAATTGACAGTTTGTATTTTATTCCAACATGTTTTGCTATTTCAGAAGCTAAGTCTACACAATATCCTTCATATCTCTCATTCCCTTCTAGTTGTTCATGGTTTTTCTTATACATTACATATGGTGATTCCTTTGAAACAAAAGTAAAGATCAAAAGTCTATGAATGTAAAACACAGCTTTAAAACATACAAAATGAGAGATGTTACGATCCTTACTTTATATTAATGGCAAGTATTTACAGTATTTCCTACTATGGTACAGAAATTAGGCAGACAGACTTTCACACTTTAAAAATCCTTGGCATGATCCTACAGTCAAACATACTATAGATTTTACTCCTAGTACAGACCCATTGAAGACAACAGGACTATTCCACTTTAACAAAGTTGCACTATTGTCCGCACGATTAGCCCTCATTTTTTAGGTTATTAGACAGCCAAATAGCATCACTGCAGTAATAATTCAGTTTTTAGTGTTTTTAGAACATACCCAACACTTGTAGCAGCAAAATTATTTGCTAAGTCCCCCTTGGCCTAGGATGGGGCTCTGATGGGGATATTTTCAAAGCAGCCTAAAGGAAGCTAGGCTAAAATCCTCAGCAGCATTTTTTTTTTTCCCCACTGAATTCCCTTAGCCATCTTGGAAAATTCTGGCCGAAATGCTGATTGTATCTTGCTAACTTCATAGCAGTATAAAACACAATGCTTCAGGAAAGAGCATAAAATTGGATCATGCTTTGTAGAATTGTAACAGACATAAAAGTTACAAACAATGCTACACAGAGCACATTTGCTAGAAGCAATGGGACTAACACAGGTATTGCTGTTTATGAAACACATGAAGAGCTTTACTCCTTTGGAATTTCATGCGTATACATAGCTTTAATCCCAGTGCTAGAGCATTTCCAGTTCTCTACAGGCTTCACTGCACCACCCTTCCTCAGTCCACAGGGGTTGAGTTTACAGAGGCCGTACCTGAGTGAGGGGTGCAAGATTGGACCCTACAGCAGGAAGGCCAGATCCTGCCAGCAGTCATACACATGCATAACTTCACTTATATGAGGCATTTGATGGCATTCAAGTGTCTGAGAAGCAGGAAAGCACAATGTTGAGCTCAGTGGGATTCCTGTGAGTAAACTCAAGGAAATGCACAGAAGCTTGCAGTGTCAAGCCCTCAGCAAATCTCTGGCAGATACTGAACTTTTCAGTCACTTGAAGTAACACAGTATTCAACACCAGACTCCTGACAAGGTGTTCAACACATCTTAGGAGCCGTGCATCTTATTTCCTAAACACAAACACGCTAAGAACATTAAACTTACCAGGATGGTAGTGACTACTATGGTTCTGTTCTCCACAGATGAAGTGTCATTAGAGGGCAGCTGATCTAATGTTGGCACAAATCTTTCATATTCATTCCAATAACCAGCCTATAAAAAGGGATATTGTTAACCTTACTACATAGATTTACAAGGACTTTGGTGCGTGAACTTGTAACAAGAACTGTCAAAACATATGGTTTGGTAACATTTAGTCAGGGTTGCATTAGCTTTAATAGATACAAGGCAAATCAAAGTGAAAATACATACTAAATTCTCAGTGTCTAAATTCACATTGTTAATTGCACACTGTATTCACCTGTGGAATAAAATTCTCTGTCTCCACAGCATAAAAGACAAGAAAACACTGCAAAGCACTTTGAGTCAAATTATCCAGGTTTGAATTTTTTATCAGTATTCTGCTGCAGTTCAGGCAGTGAGGACAGCACCTGCAGCTTCAGAGCAGATGCACAGACACTGTTAGCAATGCAGGCACAACAGCATAATTCTCAATGCGGATTACAAACCCCTCTGACTCTGAGGTGACTGTTTGTCAGCTGGCTTGTGCTGACCTTCATGGTGCTGTGGCTGTGTTGCTATGCTATTACTACACTAGTTTTTGTATTTCTGCACAGACTTGCTGTAAAACCTAGCTGAGTGGCTGGGTCGTGTCCAGAGGTATTTTGTTATCAAATAAGTGCAGAAGAACTTACAGAGTGGCACTGTTGACTAAACACGTTAGGTACTGCTGTCTCTGAAATCAGGGGGATGATGATCTTATCTACTCAGCCTCATCACTCAACACCCCTGAGAACCTGCCTACCTAATTATTTTTGAAAATTTGCCCTAAATTGCTTTTATAAAAGGCAGTCACGCCACTTAGCATCTATACTTTATTTAGGAGATAAGAGAACAAGCAGTGAAAATCCTAATTAAAACCCAAATTATTTTCTGATAATTTCAGAAGGTTTCTAAAACGCACTCATTCCAGTTTCACTATTGCTCTGAGGCCTCTTATGGGGAAGGGAAAGATGGAGAGGAATTTGAGAGATTGGGCTGAACACAGGGACCTGACAGCAGACATCATGCTCAGCATAAAAGCTCAAGGTGTCTTCTAACAGATGAAGTGGGGTTAACTTCAAATGGAAACCAATGAAGATATTAAATAGGATGAGTGATATGTTTCAGAAACAGAATAGAACAAGGTTCCTGGGATAGGAAGACGGCAAGAAGGCAGGGATTCCTCTGGGTCTTGTTTTTGCAGTGTCTGTGCAGCATTACTGAGTTCCAGTAGTTTGCTGGAATATTATTATCAGAAATATTATTTCCGAAGATATGAAATCTGAATGTATGTCTTGAAACTGACCTTTCTTGATCCAGAAGCTTTCATTTCATACACATCAATTGTGTAATTTGTTCTCCGCCCATAAGTATCAAACTGGATATTCCCTGTCATTCCTTGGACTTGCACCTGAAGGCAAAAAGTAGAAAAAAAAATGTTAATAATAGATCTTCCTCTGTTACGTTTTGCAGGAACTCACCAGCTGTAGCACAGTTTTTATCCGTATAAGAGAGACCTGTAGCACTTCTGACACAGACAGTGGTATTGCTCATAATAAAAGAGCCCCAATTCTCTCAGTTTCAGCCGTACATATCCTTTGTTAGTACTCTGCTGGTGACTCACCACTGCAGAGTGAGTTGCATTTAAGTGTAAGTAAGTGAAATTAGCCCTGCATGCATGTTAAATACAAGAAAGACTGACTCTGCCACGCTTAGTCACGCTGGGCTCACTGATGTAGAAGGGGTATCTGCGAGCTACCTGCAACAATTCAGCGCTATTAAAGCCCTCGCAATATGGCATGGAGTGATTTGTGATATGGACCAGAATTTCATGTCGTTGCTCATTCTGGGAAGTGCTTTATTTTAAGATCAGTCCCAGCGTAGGAGAAAGGAATGAATGTATTTGAATGAACATAGACAATTGTCTCTACTGCTTATGGGGTTTTGGTCTCAATCTGGATGGATGGGTGTACAGACGGTAAGTCATTATCATTACGTACTCACATGAATCACTTTGAAGGGAAGTATGAAGTAATTTGTTTCAAAGAAAAAAAAATCTTTCTTATTTGCCTGTGTGAAAGTGTGAGGTATTTCCATTTATCACTTATTGACACTGGCACGCTCTCATCTTAGGCAGAAGGGGTAACAGTCTGAAACTGCAGTAGGAGTAGATTAGCTTTCATATTCAGCAGAATGCTTCAGAAGCTACAGAAATGTGTGGTGGAAAACTTGTCAGAGGGAAACTGTGAAACCACAGTCCTTGAAGATGTTCAGAGCTGGTTACTGAGCTGTTCACTGTGCCTTAGAGATGGTATAATTAAACTTCTTACGATGGACAGGGAAAGGCTACATAAAAAAGTTAAAATTCCTTTGGCCCCAAATTATCCAGTGAGCCAAATTGAGAATGACATATAAGTAGTGTGATTTTTTTTGTTGTTAGTTAGTGGATTTGAACCCTTTTAGCAGCTCATGTTCTCAAGAATCAGGAAGAATATGTGAGCTTTTCCTGTCTCCAGAAAGCTAGAGATGTGCACCAGGCTTTGAAAGCCAAATGTGTTCCAAAGAGGTTTTATCAACTGTGGACTGAGCATTTGTAGAGCAGTTGACATATAATTTGCAGCCAGATGTGAGCTGCTACGCCTGCTTTTGGCACTTGCTAGAAGCTGTCTGTCTACCCTAGCACAGGGTATGTCTCAATAGAGCTTGTTAGGTCTGGTTCATCCTGAGCTGTATTGAGATGTGAGCATTGTGCATTTGACACCTTTTGACTTCAAATTTAATTTGTTTCTATCTTTGGTGGGAAAACTCAGCACTTCTCAAAATCTGGCTGCAGAGAGGCAGGAAGACTCACCAGGACTCAGAACGTGTCTGGTAGCAGTGTGCAGAGGCAATCACAAATTAAATGACTATTTATAACTGCCCAGATCTGCTCAGGTAAACTGTCTGTCACTTATCTGGTGCCTTACATTCAGAAACACAGACATGCAGAGCTTTTGAGGCTGTAGGGAAGCAGTCAGGTACTGCCTATTTCCCTTTTGCCAACAGGACATCTGTAGTGTGACACTGCATCTTTTGCTGGCATAAGGATACTTCTGGGAGCTCTTGAAAAAATTTTGTTGAGTTGCTGTTACGGAGCAGAGGGGAGAAACTGTTATTTTTTTGCTGATGAAATTTTTTTCTGACCAGAGGAGACTGATGAATGGAGTGGGGTCCAACAGGCAGTGCTTCTATGGGATGATCTGCAGTGACTGCAGAAGATGACATGAACCTCATTTACAACCTGCTGGAAGTTTGACACCTACTTTTGTGCCAGTTGTGATTTGGGCTTTGTATATCCTGTGACTGACATTTTTTCAAATATATTCTCTACAAGACATAGTGTCCTATGGCAGTGTTCATGTTCTTTCTTGATATTCATGCTTTGTATCTCATTCAAAGAGGTTTTATGTTTCATTTACAATAGAGTTCAAATAGACAGTACAAATTCTTTATTATGAAGATTAACTTTAGATAACGTTTCTTCAAATGAGGGCAATGCTACATGAGTGAATATGCAGGTAGTGCATTTGTTAGGGTGCAACCTAATGGCATAAGAATAGCTCTGACAACATGAGACTGAACTGTCTCTCTCCTTAAGCAAATGAGGGGGAGAATAAACCTTTGGATATAATCTTTTCACTTCGGCGACAAAAAAGCCATCAGTAAACTAAGAAGTCTGACCCAGGATTTGTTTTTCCCTAACAGGGGCTTAGTTCTGATCTCACTCACTTCAGTTTCATGCCTAAATTTTTACAGTCACTTAATTATCCGAATGTTTTTACAGTTACTTGAGCCAGATCAAAAGCACACTTTATTCTTGTCTCTTATGTCTACAAAAAAATTACATACGTGTCTTCAAGCTAGTAATTATGTATCCCTGCATGATGCACAATGCACACGCTGAAGACCCAGTCTGGTTTTGATCGTCATCTTTGCAGCCTGAGCTTGACTTTAGAAACCCTCAATACATGCCAAACTGGCTCTCATGCTCACTCTCGTGGGAGGCAGAAGGTCTTGGAAAAGTCAGCTTACAGATGCTCTGGGGTTACACTGGTCCTACAGGGATGTGACTTTGGCCAACTCTTTGAGAACTAACTAGTTATGGCTTGCTTGCTACTGAATACATCTTAGCCATCCTTTGGAGTTTGTCATAAAGTCTGGTTTTGCTGTTTTTGTTTTGTTCTGTCCTGAGAATCAGCTGTTCTTGTGTGCAGAAACTGCATGTGGAGTAGCTCTGCCCCAGTAGAGTTGCTTCTGTTGTGAAATATACACATCCAATAGCCACAGTATTTTTGCCCTTACCATTTTCAGCGCTCTTTCTATATCAATTCCTTGGCTCCATGGTACTGCAGGGTTGGCCAGGCAGTCCCCAGCACTACCTCTCCTGGAGACATCCACACGTTGCCTTCGGAGGTAACGGAAAGCCTCTGCTATGACTAGGACAGCGTCATGGGTCAGGGCAGATGTATACTGAAATTGATGCAAATAGAACGTGATGACAGACTGTAATCTTAGAATCACCCTAGGTTTATCATAAGGTCTTGTCCCTCTGTCTTTAATATACTCTTATAAGAATCATGCTCAGAAGCCCTTTTGCTTGCTCTCTGTCTCTCTTGCCACAGATGCTTTTTTTTAACAATTCCATTTATTTCAAGTGACTAACTGAAATAAATAAAAACAATAAATAATAAAAAGACATTAAAATAAATAATAACAATAAGGATTAAAATAATAGGACAAGTTCAGAGTTGCATAATATATAAGTTTAACTGGAAGCTTGTTCATCTAAATGACATCACTACAAAAATTGGCAATTCCATGCCGGCCCCTGTTGCTACTGATAGCAAGAGCTCATATTTGTTTATTCCTTGAAGTAATTCTTTTTCTTTACAACAGCATTGTCAGGATGCTTTTGAATTGAAGCTAACATAAATCATTTCTGTTTGGACCACAGTACTGATTAGGTAGCATCTGTGGCCAGGAATAGATCAGTTAACATTTTTAGTAGACGGCTATACAAGCTAGCAATCAAAAAACACATGTGAGGCATTACATCTCCTTGGTAATTGCCCATCTGCCTTCTCTCACATCGCTGTAAATCTGAGGAAGGTGATAAGCTTTGTGTAGCAACAAGTCCTCTACAAAACCTTGGGAATCCTTAATGAATTGTTCATGCTGCTGCCAACTTCACCCATTGCTTGATGCTTGTATCTGGTGACATCTCCCAATGTATTACTACCAAAATATTGCTTTTTTTTTTTTTTTTTTTTTAAACATTTCTGCCCCGTTCCTGTGCTTGTCTGAAAGTTCTTCCCTCCTAGGATGGAAGGAAAGTTCTATACATAACACTGCTGGCGTTCACTGTCAGTCTGCGCACCTGTAATTTAGAGGTCTGTGCAATTTAGGGGAAACCATTTCAACATGTGCACACTGGCAGCAATTGAATGTGCTCAGTCTAGAAGAACAGATTTCAAATCCCTTGTAACTGAGTGACCCTTCGCATTTCCACTATTTTGTATGAGAATGGAGAGGCATGTCCTGTAGGGCAGAACAGCACGACTGGTTGTCTGCATTTCTTAGAAATGCGTATCATCTTATTGCAAATTTGATATAAAGCCTTAGGAAGTCTGCACAGAACAAGGCATACCTGCATGTGCAGATCAAAACGAAAAAGAAGTGCAAAGGTAGCACTGTGAAGGTTATAAGCAGCCTCTCTTACTGAGTTTTAAATGACAGCAGTTTACAAACTTTCATTTGGTGTGTGTGGTGCTCCTGCTCCGACTGTGCCAAGGCTCAGGCAATTTTTGATCCTGCCCTCTTTTACCTCTTCCTGTAATCTTGCAGTGCTCACTCTCTCCTCTTAACTGTCTTGTTAGTTAACAAAGATTATATCACATTCCACAGAACAACATAGGATGTGGTGTTAATTTTACCAGGCATTTGTTCTTGTGCTAAAAAAAAAAGAAATTTGTAATAGCTGTCCAATCTAGCACTACATAGAATTTACAGTGATAATTTTTTTCAGCAGAACGCGTCAATTGTCAGTAACCTTAATGCAATCCCTTCCAAGTCATGCCAAGAGAGCTATCTAATTTTCTACTTTATTTGAATTCTGCTTATAAATGCATGAACACGAAAAGAAAAAAAAAAGAGAGAGGGAAGGGAAAGGCTGATAAAATATGGAATAAATTAAACATCAGGGCTTTAATCTCTAGGCAATTTTATTTCCTAATCAGAAATATTGCACATCAATTTTTAAGTATGCTTTTTGTCTGATTGACAAATATTGTGCACATTTCTATAATGAGCGGTACATCTGTGGAAAGGTAATACATTCTCTATGTTTGTATGATACACTTAAGATTATTTTTTAAGGATAGAGAATAATTTTTCCCTCAAGGTAAATTGCTTTCAAATGGAACAAAATATTCCCAGGTTAACTTCCTATCTTTCAGAGCTTTTAAGGTTAGTACAACACTTATCTTCACTTCTGCCTCGCTCCTAGAAAGCTTTAGAAAGCGGGAGTAGTTTGTAATCAACAGGAAAGAACGCACTGAGCCAAGCCCTGTTTGCCTTTCCTTGCTTTCTCTGAAATGCCAGCAAGGCCATGGGATGGCATGAGATAATTTTCCTTCTCCAAAGAAATCACGTGATCTCAGGGATGGAAGAGACTGCAGTGAAGTGTCCGGTCCACTCCTTTCTTCTGAATTAGGGCCACTCTGAATAGACTATCCCTGGTACGTCTGTTAAACCCACTGCATTTAAATGCACTGTGAAAGAGGCCCCTTGATCTCCCAACATACATATTACTGTACTTAGCACCACTTATGTTTTTTTCTGTGTTTATTACAAGTCATCTCGAATGCCAATTCAGCTGAGTGCTTCCTGTCTGAGCACACATTTGATTGTGTCTGTATGTGATCAGAGAACTAAACTCTGCCAAAACACGGGTGAAGGCAGTCGCACTCAACTGTCGGCAGTTGTTTGGTGATCAGAACCATCCTTGGAATAGTTGTGGGGCAGCTCAGACTCTATGCCACCAGTCTCCAGGCATGCGATGGGACCTACCAATGGGAAGAAGGGGTGCTACCACCTTTTAAAGATGTTAAGGTAGTTTAACATCTAAGGTAGTTTGGGCTTGGCCATGCCATCTTTCTTGGTGGCTGGACTAGAGAGCAGTTTCTAGCATCATTTACCTTACAGTATGATGTATCTCTGGAAAATAGCTGATCATTTTATTTTTTATACAAACAGGCTATGCACTGGAGGACTAATATGATTGTTAAATAAAAAATAATTGCTTTAAAGTAACTCATTTAATCTCCACCGTTAACAGAATAAAATAAATACCTTTAATGGTGAGTTTTTGGCTTCTGGGAATTCTCTTTCATCGAGCCTCACCCAGCGTTGTAGAAACTGCTGAACCATTGGGTTTTCATTATTAACTATCTGGAATCCAGTAACATTGGCACCTCCATGCATCACCCTCTCCAGCACAATATCTGTGAAACCCTGGGAGGACACGTAAAAAAACAAAAATTGTTGCCATCTAAACCACCTTTTCTTTGTCTCAGTTTTACCTGCTAGAAATTTGGCACAAAAGAAACCACTGAATTTCGTTCTTGCTGGCTGAAAACATTCTGCCACGGAGACCATTACTAACACAATAGCAGTTGGGATTGTGATAGCAGAATTTGTAAATGTCCTAAGGTTTAGACCTTTGCAATGGAAAACTGCCCTGCTGTGTTACGGCTGTGTCGCACGTAACATCCACTGGTCAGAAAGAAAACAGCAGGGAAGCCTGAAACACCTCTTCCTCTCCTCGTCATGGTGCAAATCTGCCCAACATCTCACTTACATTTGAACAGCAAAGCTTCGGTGCTGGGAACAGAAAGCCACTGAAGAGGCACGCTGTTCTGCGGAGGCGAGGCACGAATCTCCTGGCTAGGCAGCCGTCAGTCAGCGCACCGCTTAACATTTTGCTTTCAAACATAATGGTAGGATTCTCTCCCACTCTCTTGTTATTTATACCTGTGGCAGTAAATTGGTGTCTTTTTGATTAGCGTGACTTGATTGCAGTCATGTTTACTTGAATGCCAGTGCTTACACATGCTAAAAGGCAACTCAGAGTAAGAACTCACGTGTTTCTATGCACACTCTACAGTCTAATCAGTCAGATCACGACTGATCGTTATGAAGCAAAATGGCACATTTTAAAGTGGTGCAGTACTCATATTAAGTAAGGATATTTTAAAATTTGTCTTGTTTTAATCAGATCAAAACATGAATACGGAGAACATTCTACCAAGTGGGATTGCTAACTCCAAAGTGTGATCTTTGGAAGAACATTTTTCTGCTCACAGCCGACATGGAAACCAAAACTAGATTCTGCAAGGATCCACTACAATATGACACTTATTCTAAGGAACTCTAGTGGATTCAGTTTCCAAGTCATCACATACACCCCTGAAGGCCAATTTTAGATTCCAGAAGTAGTCCCGATACAGATAAAAATGTCTTTTTTTATCCTGGTAGGTCAATACACATGCTGTCACCAACCCACACTCTCACTCTGTAATAAAAATGAATGGCTGAACAGTCTGGCCATTTCACTTGGTGGAATTATTGTTTTAATTTGCTGCTTTTCATCACTTATTTTATACATAAATATCCTACAATTATTTTTCCTAGAGTGCTAAATTTCAAATATGTTACATAGAAGATTATGGTAACCAAGTGTCTTATTTATGAGGACGCAAATTAGTGGAAAACACATAATTAAATCATTACTTTAAAATTAGTAGAGGATATTAGCTGCTTAGATAAAATGCAGACCATAATTGACTACAAATGGCTATAACCTACCAGTCCCAGTATTTACTGAAGTTATTTCTCATAATCCAAGAACTCACTCAGGCATTTTCTCTACTGCTGATTAAAGTTGACACAACCTGAGCAGAATATATTACCCTCTCAACCTTAGCGATACTTGTAATGAAGAAAAAAGTTCTTACCAGGTTTGCTAACATGTAGTGATAGCCTCTAGAATGTTTGCCAAGGATTACAACCTGTGTGAAGAAAAAAATTACGTTACTCAGTGTAAGAAAGGGGATGAGTCTCAACCAGTAAAAAACGGGACAGAAAATGAATATTTTTGCAATCCTCTATGCCCAATCCATGGGGAGCATGAATATTACACAGCTGACTTTACAGACATGATGCAGTCACACGCATTTTTAAAACATGGGCACTGCACCAACCAGACTGACCCACAGGGCTGTTCTCCATTGGAAATGACCTTACTTGGCAATCTCACCCTTGTGACCACAGTGTTTCCTCGCTGACCATACTCATTTTAGCTCTCACTTCAATAATTTCTGCTCTGCAATGAGGTAGCAATATATCTACTTACCTAGTAAACTCACTGTTTGTGGGCTGTGTGAGAAGCATATGAGACAGCCCAGCCTCTCATTCTGCTTACTGAACTGTGCTGGCACAGGGGGCTCTGATGGCACTCCTTCTACAGGGGGTTTCTTGCCATGAGAGCCCTGACCAAACCTTGTCATATATGAATGCTTAATTTCTTCGTTATACGCAGTGACCTTCATTGTCTTTTGACGGAGTTCAAATGGACTGAAAACGTGTCACTTCCAGCGCATCTAAGTGGGGATATTTGACCTTACACGTTTAGTCAAAATTTGCACTAAGTACAATGCAGCACTTCCACTAAACCAACATCTCCTGCCCTCTCTGACCCCAGCTGGCTATCTCTGTGTGCAAATGGAGCCATTAAATGGAAAAGTAAAGAGACAGAAAAGCAGCAGGCTGAACTGAACAGCTGGACTCTGCAAAGATGAAGAGGACAAGCCAGGGCAGCGCTGGCTGGCAACTGAGTTCTGCCATCCCATGTGCTTCTGTTGTCACTCCAGTAATACTTAATACTGTACTTTTATAGAAAGGAGAGAAAAAACTCCCCGTGTTCAAGCAGCTGGCTAATGGCTCACCAGTAACAGCTCCTGTGCAAATCATGCCACTGCACTTAGTACCGTTCCCCTGCCTTCAGGCTATAGCCTCTGTAACATCCATCTAATTCCATCTAGTTTCATCTAGGTCAGAGGGAAAAAAGTCCAGGAGAAAGAATTTAATTAATGAATGTGGTGATAACGTGTGTGTCAGGACAGAAACCAACTCAGACTTTTCTAGGGTGAACTACTGAAAGTTAGAAACAGCAAACCTAGCTCTGACCACACACCACAGCTGTATCACAGACTGTACCAAAGAGCGGGTCAAGTGGTCAGGTGATGCTTTTCGATGGACCACTTATGTCCTTGCTAAAGTGAGACGACATTTGAGTCACTGCCTTTGGATGCACAGAAGAGCCTCTTAAGGTTCTTCATTAAATTATTAAGTTCCCAGTTGTCTCTTTGGGTTGCCTTGTCCTTAATAGATGTCATTTCTTTCGAATTCACATTTAATTCTGTAGGAATTTGCATACTTCCAGCAGTCTGAAAATAAATTGCTGTTCTGGTCCTCTTGAGAACTGTATGTACACTCTGTTGGTAGGAAGCATCTGCCTTCCTACACTCACACTTGTTTTCTATGGAAATGTGCAGGCTTCCTTCAGATCATCTGGCGTGTGCGCTATTTGCATAATGAATTCTCTGTGTGTTTAAATTTCACCTTAATGGCAGTGCTTTCCTTTTAAAAGGTTAGAGACAAAGAGCATAACAACAACAATGTGCTTTGCCATTTTAACCTTAATAAGAAATAAGAAAGCTTTTACAGATCTACCCAGAAATGTGGTTATTTAAGAGAAAATACCACGACAGATGAAGTCAGGGGCTGTAAGGAAAACATTCATGGAGCTGCTACAGGCATCTGGAGAAATACTGCACATAGGAAATGTAGGACTCATTAGCATAGATCAGATTCAACTTCTATCTCCTCTATTGTCATGCCTCCAAAATGTCCAGAATTAACTCTGTTCAGTTCCTTAGAAAGGTCCAACACACTACAGTTCTAATTTGTAAAGCATCTTTCAAAAAATGACCTGTTACTGTTTCTATTCTTACAATCAGCCACGTTAGTTCATAATTATTAAACTGGACCTTAGCAGTGCTTTTAAAACTCACTACTCATGCTATCCTAAATCTTCATGAGGGCAATTCTCCTCCCCCCGCCCCTTGCTTTCCACCTCTACCAACTGCCCAGCATCTTGCAGGAGCTGCTGGATTAGCGAGCCTAGCAGAAACAGTCACAGACATCAATGTTACTCCTCTGGGAGTACAGGAATGGACAAAGCTTTTTTTTTTTTGAAGAAAGAGAGCAGGAATATAACCAATACATCTCATCAACTGCTTAGATATTGTGAAGCTTATATAGAAAGTGAGATATTGAATAGTGGTGGTGAATAGAAAGCCAGGATTACAGGACAAGGATTTCACAGAGTTACATGTCTTTGGTAAGTTTCACTTCCAAGACTTAATATTGCTTTCACTTTGACTGAAAGAAAAACTTACAGGATTTTACACTGAACAAAGGAGGAGGAAAAAAAAGACGAAACTATCATTAATAACTCAGACATCTGATCACAAACAATTGTTGTTGTGTAGATAAAAAGAATGTAATGTCGGGTTTGATATGGAGCCAAAAAAAGTTTGTATTTTTAATTAACTCTTTGAATTTTTCCAATTAATTAACAGAAAATCCAGAGAGAACATAATTAAAATGTACCTCATGTTAAAACAAAAGTCACAGACTGCTGGCATCCTGGAAGTGTGGGCCTATATGCCAGATTTGAGAAATTAAATCAGCATTGCCAATTTCAGTCTTTCATTTGCCTGGGGAAGTAATTTTTTGAATGAAAGCATAAAGAACATATTGGTTTTCACTGCATCAGCCATAATGATAACAAATAGGAAACTTAATTTTTTTGCCTTAGCTTTTAAACTTTTCTTACAATTTTAGAAGGGTCTTCGGGCTCAAAAGAAATGAAGAAGTGAAAGAATAGCGCAGGTTTGGGAGGTGGAACTGAGCAGTCATATTTTCTCTTTTAAAAATTACCATTGGTTTGTCTTTGACTCCTGGATGTAGGAAATCACGAACAGATGAGGTTGTCGGGGCCTCTGGAGATTGCCTCTTCCAACAGCCTGGCTCAAAGCAGGACAGCTAGAGCATGCTGCTCAGGACATGTCACATTTTGCACGTCCCTGAAGACAGAGATTCCACAACCCCTGTGGGCAACTTGTTCCAGTGTCTGACTACCCTCGCAATAAAAATGATTTTTCTTATGTTTAAACAGGATTTCCTGCATTTCAGACTGTGTCCTTGTCTAGTCACTGGGCACCACTGAGACTCAAACTCACTGAGACTGTCCAAAAAATGTCTAGCTCTTCTTCAGTCCTCCCCATCAGGTATTTATACACATTATTAAGTTACATTCTGAGCTTTCTCTTCTGCAGGTACACAATTCCACTTCTCACAGCCTCTCCTTGAGTGCCACATGCTTCAGTCCCTGAATTATCTCATGGGCCCTCTGTGGGTCTTGCTCTAGTGTGTCTCTGTCTAGGGGGCCCAAAACTGTGCATAGTACTTCAGGTGCAGTCTCACCAGGGCTGAGCAGGGGAAGGATGACCTCTGTTGTCTGCTGCCGACGCTCCTCCCGTGCAGCCCACAGAGATGTTGGTCATCTTTGCTGTGACATGCAGTGATGGTCGTGTTCAATTTGCCTGACAGAGCCACTGGACACTTCTCTGCAGAGCTGCTTTCCAGCCAGGAAACGCCAGGAAGACCCTGGCACCTGATGCATGCCTTCCTATCAAACAATCCTTCCAATTTTGTAATAACTGTAAGCTTATTAAGAATGCCCTTTGTCCATCATTAAGATAATTAATAAAAAGTTTAAACAGTATTGGTTCTTAGGGTATCCCACTGGCAACTAGCTTCCAGCTGGACTCCGTGTTGCTGATTACAACCCTCTAAAGCCAGCAATTCAGTTTTCAGGCCATCTTGCATAAAAGTTCCCTGACTTGATACTGTCCTGAGGTAAGTCTTCATTGCTCCAACCTTCGCCACTGGTCTCTGGAACCTAGGATTCCTGAAGGCAATCTCACCAGTAAAGACTGAGGTGAGGAAAGCACTTCTAGACTTGATCAGTTTCAGTGTAGCAACCCTAAAACACTAAAACATACCAAATCAGAAAAGGCCTAGGACTGCTCCTGCAGTGTTGTCTCTGTGAGCACTGACTTTAACAGGTGTCACTGAAAAGTACCTGCTAGGAGGATATGCTTGCGTTTTTACGTAGACAAGTAGCTATCATGACATTGGCAGCACTGTAAGGAAAACGAATAAGAGCTCATCTTCCCTTCACCTGAATTGATCCGGTCAGTTCAGTCTTTTTAATCAAGGTTTTTTTCTCTCTCCTTATTTAGAAATGAAAAAAGGAAGAAAGTAAATTAGATCACAAAAGTACAGACTACCTCATCTGCAGCTCAAAACCCTGGTAGTTTATGAGTTTATTAGATCTTTCAATAAAATACAATACTGATGCTGACTGGCAGTATTGTCACAAAGAAGGTCTAAAGATTTTTCCCTTGCTTTTCATTTCTGACAAGTTAAAGAAATATGCCACTTAAATGGAGTGGCAGGGAGAGATCTGACCTGCTGTAATGCGCCTTTCCATTTCTAGCATCTCTGTGAACAATGAGGTAAGTTAAATCCAGAACTCTTCTTTCCTAGGTTTTAAAAAGGCAGTGAGAAAAATGAGATTTCCTATAAGCTCAGAGTCAAAAAGGAGTTTTGTTGTCTTTGTTGAAGTTATTTATACATTAATTTGGGTCCCAGTTTTGCAAAAAGCCCATGATTAACTTCAAGCATATTAGCATGTCTTCTGATTTTTAAGTCTACTTTTACATTTCTGAGGACAGGAAAGCTTAGCTAGCTCCATACAAACAGCAATGTCCCAGTACGCCTTGCTTTCAAAATACAGCTATGACAAAGCAGTGGCACAATTCTTTCTTCTCAGCGGCAAACAAGCCAAAATGTTCTGTGTTCAAGAAATGGACATGTC